AATCTATAACTCATCTGTAAATCTATAACTTCATCTGTAAATCTATAATTCATCTGTAAATCTATAACTCATCTGTAAATCTATAATTCATCAGTAAATCTATAACTCATTTGTAAATCTATAACTTCATCTGTAAATCTATAACTCATCTGTAAATCTGTAACTTCACCTGTAAATCTACAACTCATCTGTAAATCTAACATTATCTGTAAATCTATAACTCATCTTTAAATCTATAACTTCATCTGTAAATCTATCATTTCATCTATAAATCTATAATTCATCTGTAAATCTATAACTTTATCTGTAAATCTATAATTGATCTGTAAATCTGTAACTCATCTGTAAATCTATAACTCGTCTTTAAATCTATAACTTCATCTTTAAATCTATAACTTCATCTATAAATCTATAATTCATCTGTAAATCGTTAACTTTCTCTATAAATCTATAACTTCGTCTGTAAATCTATAACTCATCTGTAAATCTATAACTTCATCTTTAAATCTTTAACTTCATCTGTAAATCTATAACTTCATCTTTAAATCTTTAACTTCATCTGTAAATCTATAACTTCATCTTTAAATCTGTAACTCACCTGTAAATCTATAACTCATCTGTAAATCTATAACTTCATCTTTAAATCTGTAACTTACCTGTAAATCTATAACTCATCTGTAAATCTATAACTTCATCTTTAAATCTATAACTTCATCTGTAAATCTATAACTTCATCTATAAATCTATAATTCATCTATAAATCTGTAACTTCATCTGTAAATCTATAACTTCATCTATAAATCTATAATTCATCTGTAAATATGTAACTTTATCTGTAAATCTATAACTTCATCTGTAAATCTATGACTCATCTGTAAATCTATAACTTTATCTATAACTCATCTGTAAATCTATAATTCATCTGTAAATCTATAACTCATCTGAAACTCATCTGTAAATCTTTAACTGCTATATGCCCATAATAAATAATAAAGGGCATTTCTGACATTTTCGTCATGTCTGTTAGACGACGACAGAAATGTGATTCTGTTGATTTAAAAATAAAACAAATGATATAATTAAATAAAGCACGTCGTATAAAACTAATAATGACATATAAGACTGTGACATGTTGTTATATGTTGGTATTATATGTTGGTATTATGTTGTTATTATATGTTGTTATTATATGCTGGTATTATGTTGTTATTATATGTTGGTATTATATGTTGGTATTATGTTGGTATTATATGTTGGTATTGTATACTGGTATTATATGTTGGTATTGTATGCTGGTATTATATGTTGGTATTGTATACTGGTATTATATGTTGGTATTGTATGCTGGTATTGTATGTTGGTATTATATGCTGGTATTATATGTTGGTATTATATGCTGGTATTGTATGTTGGTATTATATGTTGGTATTATATGCAGGTATTATATGCTGGTATTATATGTTGGTATTATATGCTGGTATTATATGTTGGTATTATATGTTGGTATTATATGCAGGTATTATATGCTGGTATTATATGTTGGTATTATATGTTGGTATTATATGCTGGTATTATATGCTGGTATTATATGTTGGTATTATATGTTGGTATTATATGCTGGTATTATATGCTGGTATTATATGTTGGTATTATATGTTGGTATTATATGCTGGTATTATATGCTGGTATTATATGTTGGTATTATATGTTGGTATTATATGCTGGTATTATATGCTGGTATTATATGTTGGTATTATATGTTGGTATTATATGCTGGTATTATATGCTGGTATTATATGTTGGTATTATATGTTGGTATTATATGCTGGTATTATATGCTGGTATTATATGTTGGTATTATATGTTGGTATTATATGCTGGTATTATATGCTGGTATTATATGTTGGTATTATATGCTGGTATTATATGCTGGTATTATATGTTGGTATTATATGCTGGTATTATATGCTGGTATTATATGCTGGTATTATATGCTGGTATTATATGCTGGTATTATATGCTGGTATTATATGCTGGTATTATATGCTGGTATTATATGCTGGTATTATATGCTGGTATTATATGCTGGTATTATATGCTGGTATTATATGCTGGTATTATATGCTGGTATTATATGCTGGTATTATATGCTGGTATTATATGCTGGTATTATATGCTGGTATTATATGCTGGTATTATATGCTGGTATTATATGCTGGTATTATATGCTGGTATTATATGCTGGTATTATATGCTGGTATTATATGCTGGTATTATATGCTGGTATTATATGCTGGTATTATATGCTGGTTTTATATGTTGGTATTATATGCTGGTATTATATGCTGGTATTATATGTTGGTATTATATGCTGGTATTATATGCTGGTATTATATGTTGGTATTATATGTTGGTATTATATGCTGGTATTATATGTTGGTATTATATGTTGGTATTATATGCTGGTATTATATGTTGGTATTATATGTTGGTATTATAT